GCAGTTAAGCCCACAACTACCTATTATATTACAGCAGACTTTTTAAAGTGTCTGGCTAGATTAAATAACCAACGAAACAGTCTGGCTGTTGAGGAAGTGTATCTTTATAGCTTCCCAAGTAACATATATCAAATTCAGCTTTATACTATGATGTAAATTAGCGCAATAATTAAATGTGTTACTAAAGAACACATATTTCAAATTATCACAATAAATAAACCAAAGGCGTTCAAAGGTTTTAGAACATAATTACATATTTTCAAAACACTGCAGGAATAAACAAACAATTAAATGCAAATAAAACATATGTTTACATCAAACATATGGTTTATTATAAAAACAGACTGTGAGGACGAAATTAGTAATGTAACCGTTTACATTTGGCAAAGAAACCTGTTCCAAACTGGAACTGAATTCACTGTTTGCAGGTAACAATCATGGCAGACTTTAAAGTGTCTAGCTAGATGAAGTTACCAACGAAAGTGTCTGGCTTTTGAGAAAACGTCTTTTGATAGCTCCCCAAATAACATATATCAATTTCAGCTTTTATAAAATGACGAAAATTAATCTTCGTCATACCTAATTTTTAAGGGTGTCTGGCAGAGGGTTTAAACCGCACAAAGTGTCTGGCAATGGGGGAAATGATTTCTAACACTCCTCTGAAGAAAATATGAAAGAACCAAGCTTTATACTATAACGATGGTTTTTTGCAAATTTCAGACCTTTGTTACCTTTTTGTTGCCAAAGTAACTAAAATCCAAATGTCATAGTTGCCGATCATTCTTAACTGAACCGGGAGCATTTGCTAAGAAATTTTCAGCTTTTATAAAATGACGAAGGTCTGGCAGTCATGGGCTCTTGCTCTATTAAGGTTATGTGAAGAAATAATTTAAAGAATCAGCAAAAACAATAATAAATAGTTGCTAGGCAGCGGTGACAATAAAATAATTCTATTGGAATGCTATGGATTCTGATTGTGTATTTGAAGTAAGCGGGCAGCTCATTTTGCGGCCCTAGGGATGTAAAAACCTGCTCGGTCCCCAAATGACGATGACAGCTAAACGTAACTGTCAGCCACCAATTAATGTATGTAAAACAGCTAAAAACATCATAGTGTGGTGAAAAATCCTTTTAGGCTTGGATACAAAAAATATTCAATAATTAATCTCAGATGAAGTGTCACAACCCCTGCTGAGTAACTAAAGAAGCATGTACATGTTTAAAGTTTCTCTTTCACTATTGGTTTGTTATCGAGCTACCCTCTGGGCTAACAAAGTTACCATCTTAAGCTTTTGAGGAATATTTCACTCATTGGTTGCCATTTATTCAAGAATTAAAAGGTTTTTAAAGATTAGCTTGATTAATTATTAAACTATAATTTTATTACCAATACTTAAAATACTTAAGATTCTTAAAATTGTGAACGTTTTCGACGATAAATAGCAACGTTGTTTAAACTGTAACACCAGCACATTTGTATTGGACTGTTATACAATGATCAATACTTACCATTCTATTGATTCATAATTGAACAAAATAATAGGCTTAAAATAATATAAAAATTGACTTATTGCTATTTGCACTGCATAAAAACAATGTATACCGCATTGAAAACAGTAGTCTCCTGGGAGGCCTCAATGTCGTGTAATTTTGTTGAAAAAATCGTTACGAGTACTTATTTTTCTTCAATGCCGCACACAACAGTTTTAGTAATAAGGTTTTATAGTCTAACTAGGGACTACAATATCCAGTTACCGCATCACAAACAATCTACTTACTAATCATAGTCTGGACTTTATTTATAGTCATCAGAACGTTACGATCAATAATTTAAACTCGTATACTATGTACATTATGTTACTGAATGCAAAATTTTGTTACAATTTGGTGCAAGAAAATACCTGTTTGTTGAATTTATTTCAACTAATCAAACAATGTTTAGGAGAATTTTACTAAACCTACAGTTTGTATTACGCTAATAATATTCACTAGAAATAGTAAGTGTTAATCTTACCTTCAGTGCTTTACATGCGAGAGTTCTTCCAGTAAATTTAACAATATACCATCCCCTTGCGTAACTATTACAAATTTTAATGAGAACTAGGGAAATTTTTTTAGAAATTCAAAGAATACTGATAATGTGTAAAATCTATCCTTGAATCTGTTTTAGGGTTAATATGGCAATCGTATGAGATGCAAAGATATAGATTACTAGAAGCCTATAATCAACTTTTTCCTTTTTTGTTTCAAGTAAATATTAAAGCGATATTTTGTATGAAAACACCTGTAAGCATAATAATACATCGTTCTGAATAGCATTTTAACAATTTAAAATGCTCCGTTTTACGTTTCAGTATTGGTTTCATAGAGAATGGTACTTTGAAAAACCGCTTGTTTTGAAAACACATTTATAAAGATCCACAAGCGATATGGTTTTTGTAATATTTAATTTCATTTCATTCATTATTTAGTATTAAGTTTTTTTTTAATGTTAACTTCTATTCATACACCTAATAATCACTCCTCAGAAAGACTGCCCTAATATTCATTTTCCTAATTTATATAATTTCATAAATATGTTCAATTAATCAATTCATTCCATAGCCTATATTTTTTTTACAGCCCACAACCTAATTATTTATTAAATATGTAAGAGAATTGCAATACATCAAAATTTCTTATAATATCATTTCAAAATTAGTCCTTAAGGAATCAAAATTTAAGAAGCAGTGAAAGTGATCCCATGTGTTCAACAATGAGTGATGTGAACATTGAGATTGAAAGAGAAGGAAGCCATTGAGAAGTTGAAATCGTTAGAAGAAGGAGTCAAAATTTTACTTAAATCAAATTCATTCATCAAGAAGACCAGTTTCAAGTTATATCACAGTAGCCTAAACCTCAAGAGGACTCAACTCAATCATTATCTTCGAAATTAAGTATAACCTTTTCTTTAAACTCTTTTAAATTTTGTACTAATTGGACTTACCTTTTGGACAACACCAAAATTAAATTTTCCATTGTTGAGATTGTGTAAGTTTAACACTTTAATTAGGCCTATTTGGACACTATTAAATTTATTAATTATTAGCATTCCAGCCAGCACGACACCCTACCCTGAGATATATCACATCTAAATTATTTGAACCTTCAAGTTATTATTCAAATTTATCTTTTATTTCAATTTAATTTCAACCCCATACACCATTGTCAATCCTTTCATTGTAACGTCAAGCCTTTTCTCATTGCATGTTAATTGTTCATTTGTTTAAATAAAACACCTTTTGTAATCCATATCTTTGTTAACTTATTAACTTTAAACATTTATAGAGTAGGCCTAGCCTAAATGAATATTGGAAGGTGAGTTTACAAATTGGCGCACCAACGTGTTGGCTTGAATAGCTCATTAACTTTATTGCAATTCTCACCATAACTAGCCTATAAGTTTGTTAGATTTAAGAATTTGCATTGTTAATTTGTCCCGTAATTGCCCCTGTTTCCCAAAATAATCAAGACAACAACATCGCATATTTAATAACCACGCATGACCTAACACATTTTACATTAAAATGTCGGAAAATAAATATAATTTACGGCCTAAACGAAACTACCCGTCTCTGGCAAGAATGTCGAGTTCAAGTGACGACGCCGACGATGACATAAATGACAGAACACACGGCAGCCATTTTGAGCAACGAGCAGAACAACAACAAACCCGAGAAGAAGCCTCAGGTTTCAACGACCACCAACCGTTCACCGGTTCCATTGACTAATCAGACAGCGTTGATCATTCGACTTTAACCGGTTTTGTTCCACCACCCGAACTGCCTCTAGCCGAAACGCCACCGACCAAAAACACAATCGTGCCGTCGTGCCGAATGCAGCCGGACTTAAACGACGTTCCCCGAACCTCGACAAATGTGATGATAGACGATATTGCAGACAGCCGTCGAACAGCTGATATCATTCAAACACAGTCTCAGTCCGTTCATAATGTGAATCACGAGCTCCTTACACATTCCGACACTTCAACTGATGAATTAAACGTCACAAATCCTCCAGTACAGACACCTACAATCGATATGAACATGTTAGTTAACCTTATGACCAACTTGAGTAATAAGTTTGAACAAACCAGTGCTGGATTAAAGTCAGAAATAACTGCTGAATTAAAGTCAGAAATCCGTGAAACTAAATCAGAAATCCAAGAAATAACTGCTGAATTAAAGTCAGAAATCCGTGAAACTAAATCAGAAATTCAAGAAATAACTGCTGAATTAAAATCAGAAATCCGTGAAACTAAATCAGAAATCCAAGAAATAACAAAACTGCAGATTAATCAAACTGAAGCTAAACTAATCCAAACCTTTAACAATGAAATAAACGAAACCTACCAAGAAACCCAAGCTTGTAGAAACGCATTTGAATCACAAATACGTGAAACTAGCGAAAGTCAAATTGAAATAAAGTCAGAAATAAATGCCATAAAATTAACACAAAGTATTTTAACTGAAGAAACAGCTAAATTAAACGATCGGCTAATGTTAAAAATTGAAGACTCTCAAAATCAGTTGAAGCAATTTGTTGTTCACAGCATATCAAAACAACAATCTGATTCCGAAATAGAGGATAACAAATTCCAAGAACAAATAATCTCAACAGTAAAATCACAGTTAGAAGAACATAAATCTAATTTTGAGCAGAAAATAGAAGAAATCACAGTTAAAACACAACTTGACAATGAGCGTAACTCAATCATAAATTTAACTGCCCTACAAAATAAAGTATTGCCTAAAATCACCCTACAAACTAGATTAATTGAAACACAACAGCTCGAAATTCAGACTCTCAACCAAAATTTAATCTAATGTGAGTCTGAAGTAAACAACTTAAAGCAAGCTAACCCAATAAATGGACAAGCAGGTGCGATTCAAGTAATCTGTAGCGGTAATGAGAACAATGATCGTCAACTGCCGAAATTTAATGGACGAAGCGGTAACCCAATGGAATATCTGCGCAAACTTAAGCGATATTACGAGAGAGGGATCGAAAGGAATATAAACTGCAATCAAACTGAATACCTTAAAGACCTATTGGAAACGTCATTTGAAGGACCCGCATCCCGATGGTTGCAACTAATCAGATCAGACATTTTTGATTGGGACCATTTTGCTAAGGAATTTGAGTGCAAATATTGGAGTCAAGCCGACAAAAGAGGAATAAAAGCCAAGATTGAATCTGAAAAATATCGAGCTAATGGAACCTTGAGCCGTACGGAATATTTAACAGAACGAGTACTTTTATTGCAATCCATCTCCCCTAGTTTAAGTGAAGAGGAGATCGTATCATTATTGGCAGAGCGATTCGATCCAATCATCCAGGACAGTGTTAATGTGCAAAATATCACCACAATAAGAGCCATGGAACGATTTCTACAGAAGGATGACATTCGAGACGGACCGAAGAAAGTTAAGAGCTACAACAACAGTCATCAGAACAGCAGACCGTCTAGCCCTAACATACAGAACCCGCAACGTTACCATGATCGATCTACTAACCAACAAGCTTACGTGCCTAAGATGAACCGCCAGAACTTCCAACACAGCGATAACTATGCACAGAACAACCAACATCATAGGAATCAACAAAATTACCGATTCAACAGAAACAATGGTAATGAGTCCCAACAGTACCAACGGGTGCACCGAGACTACAAACCATATCAGCGTGACCACTACCCAGACCAAAACTACAAATATAATCAGAATCACCCTACCAAGGAACAGAACCAACTATGTGCGATGTATAGGCAAAATTCCAACTCGCCTAATAACCCGAGTACTCCACCCATGGATCCACAACTAAACAGCCACCATTCAAGTTCTCGTGTTTCACGATCTCCACAGAGGTCGGAAAACCACTCGGCGCTGTAGATTACGGCCGAGAAAGAATTATGTCAACTGATTCTTCATTGAATACAGCGCCAAAATACGAAATCCTCGGTCAATCTAGGAATCATATACTTAACCATATTCAGACAAATAATATATTATGTGATAAAAACTTTCTCTTAGAAGATGAATCCGAAACTAATGTCAACAAAAATTACATTCAAATTAATTGCCCAGAAATTAACATAAAATTAAATAACATCAACACAAATGCCTTAATTGATTCAGGTTCATCAGTTACATGTATAGCCGAATCATGGTTTCAAGAAAATAGAATAAATCTACAACCATTTGAAGAACTCCCTGTAAATAATACCGTTATAAAAACTGCTGTAGGAGAAAAGAGTAAGCGTGTTTCCCGAACAATATATGTCCCAACCACAATTAATAAACATACCGTGCTTACTGAATATTTGATAGTGCCAAGCTTAATAAAGCCAGTCATCCTTGGATTCGATGTACTATCCGCCCTTAAAATGGATTTGAATTTTAATACAAATGAAATCAATATGCAAATCAACAATAATAATGTTACAGTGAAGTTTAATTTGCGTCATCATGAAGGACAAATATGTCAAATAGTAGTTAATAGTAATAGCCATAGGCAAAATAATAATATAGATGATAATTTTGATAATATGATGTACGATGTGTACCACAATAACGTAATATATAATGAGTATGATAGCACAACACACAACTTCAATGATCAACAAAGTAATTCATCAAAGGACACCACATTAACATTTGAGGAGATTAGTACATCGTTAGCACCAAACACATGTATTACTCAGGAAGAACAAACAATTCTAAGTCAATTATTAAATAATTACAAACACATTTTCTCTGAACAACCAGGCATATGCAATAAATATTCTCACGATTTGCGAGTAGATAATCCGCAACACTTTAAAAGCGCAACAGGCTGTGGTTTCCTAGACGCGTAAAGATGCGCAGCGGTTTAGATGCGCTGCGTCTTTTATCCAGGTCCTAAAACGCAGCTGACGAGAGTGGTTTCCTAGACTGCGTAAAATACACACGGCTGATGCGTAACATAACTTCACGGGAGAGATTACTGGTGGTTACTATGATCATACGATAATTTAGATAATGACATGGATATTTTGGTATTAAAAGCTTTGCAGAAGCGTAAGGAGTGATAAGTACATGATTAGGAACTGTACGTAGCCCTCTCGGATCTTTTAACTGTAGTGTTAAAGCAAACTTGTCAATTTAAAATGTACACAATACATCTTAATTTACCCTGTCCAACTTTGCTTTTACTGTTATTATATTTACCTATTCGGGATTTACCGAATCGATGAAAATACCTTTTATAACTGCAATAAGGATTTTTATACTTATACGCCAACCCCGTAAGAAGTTTGGGTACTATGCTAGTAATTAATATAGGCTTATTACTAATATGTTCAGGAGTTCAGAAAATAATTATGGGGGCTCATATATTTGGGAGTTGGTGTTGTGCTGACTTGAAAAAAATATTTGTCAACATTAGGTTTATTTACTAATAACAACAATAAGGAAATATGTGAGGACAAATTAACTGTAGGGAACATGTAACAAGGGAATTCAATATTAAAATTATAGTTATGGGGAAATTAACACTACATAACGATTAATATGAAATATAATACTATAAAATTTTAATTGTATGAACAAAGTACTTCCATAAGAGACAAATGCAATTAATTTTTCATTTTTATTGGAGAATTCTGCCTTCTGTACAAAACTACTTCCGTATGCATTGCACAAGACATGTCTAAAACGCAGCGTAACTCAGATTTGACTGCTCTGAAAGCAGTCGGTCAAATACGCAGCTATTGGTGCGCGCGTATTAGATGCGCGCGCATTAGATACGCAGCCTTGGAAACCGCTTACACGAAACTCCATAAGACAAGTGTGCTGCGTCTTAGATGCGCACACGCAGCGCATCTATTACGCGTCTAGGAAACCACAGCCTTATCCGGTGCCACAACAATATCAAGATGCAGTACAAAAAGAAATTGATAGGATGGAATCCTTAGGAGTAATTGAAAGGAGTAAAAGTACATTTATTAACCCCATAATTCCAGTCATTAAGAAAACTGGAGAAATCAGATTATGTCTTGATGCCCGAAAAGCAAATGAGATTATTATTCCTGATTTTGAATGCAACAGAAGTGTAAATGAGATTCTTGGGAAATGTAAAAATGCAAAGTTCATAAGTAGTATTGATCTTACCGCATCATATTGGCAAAATTTGCCAATATGAATTTTCAGGATAGGAACTTCAGAATAGGAATTTTCAGTAAGTGGTATTGAAAATTCCAAACAATATACAGCATTTCAATTCAGAGGCAAAACCTACCAATACACTGTAACACCATTTGGTATCTCTACCTCACAAGCCGCCTTGGTTCGAGCACTAGACAATGTATTTGATTCAGAAGCTGAAGATTTTACTGCAATTTATGTAGATGATATCTGTATTATTTCACCAGATTTTGAGTCGCACATAAAACATCTAGAATAGATATTTAAGAAATTAGAAGAAGCCAACATGACAGTTCCATTCAATAAATCAAAGTTTTGCCAAAATTCTGTACCATTTCTAGGGTACACGTTAACAAATGATGGACTCCAAATGGACCAGAGCAAAGTGGAACCCATATTGAATTTCCCTACCCCTAAAAACAGAACTCAACTTAAAGCTTTCCTTGGTAGTATAAATTATTACAACAAGATCATAGATAAATTTTCCGCAACCACCCAACCCTTGATGCGACTAACTTCAAAGAAAAACAAATTTGTTTGGACCAAAGAAGATGGCGTCACCTTTATGAAGATTAAAGAACTATTTCTAAAAACATTTATTAACCCGATAATTCCAGTCATTAAGAAAACTGGAGAAATCAGATTATGTCTTGATGCCCGAAAAGCAAATGAGATTATTATTCCTGATTTTGAATGCAACAGAAGTGTAAATGAGATTCTTGGGAAATGTAAAAATGCAAAGTTCATAAGTAGTATTGATCTTACCGCAAAAAAAACTGGCGGAAGAACTGGAAGAACCTTAACACATCCTGACCCGTCTAAAGAGTTCTTCTTACAGACTGATGCTTCCGACTATGCAATAGGTGGACATTTATATCAGTTACGAGAAAATGGAGAGAAAGCTGCCATCATGTTTATATCAAGAACACTTCAACCATTCGAACAGAGGTACACAACAACTGAAAAGGAACTCCTTGCCATAATTTATTGTCTACAGAAGTCTCGATATATTATCCTTGGAACAAAATTAACTATTATCACAGACAACCACGCACTTACTTTCTTAAAATCTTGCCGCCTATTAAATAACCGATTAGCCAGATGGATACTCACTATACAAGAATATAACTTTAAAATTGTTCATTGTAAAGGTATAGATAACATTACTGCTGACACACTAAGTCGCCTTTCAATCGACCAATAACACTCCATCTCATATAACAATCCAAAGGAATTAACGATTCACTACATTGAAAACATCCCCGATCAACAACTGAAGAGTGCATTACGAAATCTACCACAACTGCAGAGAGAAGATATTAAACTACAACCTATAATTGAAATACTTGAAGAACAACCAAATTCAGATTTTGCACAAAAATTATCAAATAATTTCCGCATCTATAAAAATACTCTTTATCAAAAGTTATTGCAAGAAACTTTCATATTTCGTAACATGAATCGAATTATAAGGAAATACCTATCTACATGCGATACTTGTCAGAAATGTAAGATCAGTAACCAACCATTGATGGCTACTTTGAAAGGAGTGCTATGTACAGGAAAGAATGAACAACTTGCCGTTGATATCATCGGACCTCTTCCTACCAGTGTGTCAAACGTTAAATATATTCTTATAGTCATCGATATATTCACAAAATTTGTAAAATTATATCCCATGCAAAAAGCTAATACTAAGACAATATTAAACAAGTTATTTACATTGCACTTCCCAAATTATGGATATCCAAAAAGAATCCAGTCAGATAATGGAACCCAATTTAAGAGCGGAGAATATATTCATAAGATGGAACAAAATAATATTGAATTAAACTTTAATCCAGTGTACCATCCATGTTATAATCTTGCCGAAAGACCAATTCGTGAAATAAAGCGATGTTTGCGCACATATTGCTCCAATCAACACAAGAAGTGGGCAAAATATATCCCCGACATTAATGCAGGTCTCAATGAGCTTTACCATGAATCAACCGGATTCACACCCAATGAATTACAATTTGGTGTTAGAGATCGCCGATTTTGGGAGAAATATTTATCTGAAAATCCATTCAACACCGAAAACCCTATAGAACAAAAGCTTCTGATTGCTAAGCGTAGGTTGGATACCAAAAGACTCAAGAGATCAGCAAGATTAAATCAAAATCGAAAACCTCAAATATTAAAAATAAATGACAAAGTATTAATAAAAAACACATCCCCTCTCCAGAGCCATCTATGGAGAAACAGCAAAACTTTTCGAAGTTTATGAAGGACCGTTCTTCATCAAGCAAATATTAGGAAAATCCACGTATCATGTAACAAGAGAGAATGAAGATATTTTACTCGGACCATATCACATATCTGCTTTAAAACGATACATAGAACCAATTATAGAAGAGGAGATGTCAAATGGTGAAGAAGATCTCAGCGACATAAACTCTCAAAACATTGTGTAAATAAAATCCTATTCAATCCATATTAATCAAGTGTCATAAATTATACTAGAGGAGATCGTCATGAACCTTAATCGCGAGTGCGTGTACCCTTTTCCCCATTTCCTAAGTGAAAACTGTGAAAACATATCCTTAACATCGCTTCTATTACTATTCCCCTGTGTCAGGTCATGAACTATCTTAACCCTCACTAATTTCCCCATTTATGTTTGTTCCTGTGTTTATGTAAATTTAGATTAAGAAGTTTCTAATCAT